TGGGGGAATTTTTTTTTTTTTTTTTTTTTTTTTTTTTTTTTTTTTTTTTTTTTTTTTTAAATCTTTTAATTCAAATTGCAAACATCTGGTTCCTCAAGAATGCACAACTTATACCTATATGCTGAGTACACAAACTTATTTTAACGTTTGCACTGATGCAATACCAAAACCCAAATGGATAGAACTATGTTTTTCCATAGGCCCTGAGCACAAACTCTAGAATTGCCCAAGGAAAGTTACAAATACCAACATAAGTAGAAATTAAATTTATTCTTGGAGGAAAAACTAGCATTTTAAATGATTCCTTATATGACAGTCTATTTAAAAGACGTAATAAATAGCCTCCACTGAAACCAATCAAATGGAACACAGCCAGTTTACACCAAATCCCCAACCTTCATCAAAGACTTATACAAATAGATCAATAACTAAATTCAAGAACACATGGTTGTTTGAGACATTCTCTTTCAGGCTTCTTAGCAAGGCTTCAAACTCACTAATGGATTTCTTTTCACTCACTGTAAAACCAACTGCAATTTCATCATATTAAACTAGTGTCTCTTTACCTTTTTTTTTCAGGTTGAAGAGGATAAACCCGCATCTAAACCCACATCTAAACTTTTAAGGGCCCTAGCATCACATAATAAAGAACCAGTTTTGATTAAGAATAACAATTGTGAACAATAAGAAGTCTGTCTGACACAGCCAAGTGCTCAGCCACCCCATTCATACTTCAAAGAAAGCATTTCATAGCCCAGCAAAAAAATATGAACTGGTTGTCTGAGCTAGCACAGAGAGAACATGAATTATGCAGTCTCACAAGAACAGCTGAACTCCTGTATTTTTTTCAGGTGTCTCCCGTGAGTTCCTGAATTACATATTTAACATAAAAAAAAAAAAAAAAATCACTCACAGCTGTAAGCTTAATAAAAGGCTCAACTTTAAAACCAATTGTGATTACTTACTCAAGTTGGTCATAATTAACGCACATCAGTGGCACTTCTGTACTACAGCGCTGGTGAAATTTGTAGCCACATGTCTGGCACCGGAATCCCTGGAAAAGCAGCTTTCGACAGAAGTCGCAGAACGCTAACGTGAAGAATGTCTTTCGTACCTACATTGTCAAAAATAACCATAATTAAATAGAGTCCTTCTGTAAGCCTAAAACAGGCTATTTGCTTTTACCTCCTTTAAATACACTTACAAGCCTCTTTTTTGATGTTGGAGCTACAGTTTTATATATCAAACAGATTTACATAAAAGATTATCTCCTTTTTGAAATGGTCTTCATGCATTAAAATTTTCTTTCAACTACTTATTAGAATTAATGTTGCACTTCATTAGCAGTAAGAAAAACAGTAACAAATCTAAAGCAAAACAGTGCATTATTATCATGCTAGAGACAAACATTCAGAATTTAATTCGATACAAACTATAAAAACAAAAGCTGCTGAAAGATTATCTCATCTCCTAATTTTTCCAGGAGCCAAATGACATTTCTATCCAATACTCATAAGATTGGAAATACACATATGGTTTATGTGTTCTACGTATGGTTATATATATAGTTGAAATTTTGACTATTGAAACTCAGAAACACTTAAAATCACAAAAGGGTCAACATGTATTATTCCCATTATTATAGGGGGGGGGAAATGATTTAATTTAATTTTAAAATTTAGAAATACTTGGCATAAAAACACATTCTAATTGTATTACTACGTGTAATAATTAAAATTTCAGAAGGATATAAAAAAAAAAGTTAAGCCTACTAGACTTTCATCTAACTAGCCATAGTCAAACTAGCTTGTCTGAATAAAAGTAGTTTAAGCAGCTTGTGAATAGAATTTTGGCTTTTTTAATGTAAATAAAAGGTCTTTCTTCTCAATGTGACAAATATTATTTCCAGGATTTTGTATGTAGCTGGAACCATTTAAATGGATTTTGTTTATCAGCTTCTATTTACTTGGTGCCTTATCAGGTGAAAACATACTTGTGCACTAGCATCATTGATGATGTCAGCACTGCTCTGGGAATAGTTAGTTCATTAGTTAATTGCTGCTGCAGAGCCAGCAGGGAGGCCCAGAATACATTTTATAGATACAGCAATACAAAAATAGTAGATTAGTATTACAGCTCTGCAATGCAGTGCTGATCTGAACCCCCTACATTTATAGATTTTAGACGGTGTATTCCATCCAAATGTGAAAGTTTTAAGGGTGATCAAGTACTCTAACATCACTTCAATTAAAATTCTGTCTAATTCACTTAAGCTATTGTGATTAAAAACGTATTTTGCAACCCCCACCACATCCCACAGGTAAAAAACATTATTCAAAGTTATTAATTTGAATTTGAAAGTACAAGTTGATTTAACCCTACTCAGTATTTCACAAAAATTGTTACATACAAAATTGTGTGTTGTGAGCGGCACATTCTCCAAGACTTCCACGTGCAACTCCTCTCCTGTGAGCCAGGAAATGTCAGTGTCCCAGCCAATTGGCTTCTTCTCTCTAAAGTGATAATAAGCCTTTCATTAGCACCAGCGCACAAGCCCTTGCAGGTCTCCTGCTAAAGATGTAAGATCATGCAGAAAGTTGCAGTGCAGGGGTTTGCTACCCAGTCTCTAACTGCAGGAAACTTTAAAGGCAAGACATTAAGCACAGCACATACCAAGGAAAGCACATCTTCCCTGGACAAACTGCATGAACAAGATGCACCTTTTCAATCAGATCCAGTAGTGGCAAATTCATTGGTTCCAAGCTGACAGATAGCTTTCTGATCAAATAAAGTCCTTGTGAAAGTACCTGTTCTGTAAGAGTTCCATAGAGATGGCTAATAGAGATGGCTCCCTCCCTCTATGGAGGAGGGATGGGATCCACCCGTCTAGAAGAGGCAGGACAATCTTTGGCAGTAAATTGGCTAACCTAGTAAGGTGGGCTTTAAACTGAATGGCTTGGGGGATGGGGTCCAAAGTAGCAATGCTCAAGTCATTGCAGTAGACTGGGGGGGCAACCTGTTGTAGGGAACCTGCTTTGGTAGGGGGGTTGGACTAGATGATCTCCTGAGGTCCCTTCCAACCCCTGCCATTCTGTAATTTTGTGCAGTAAGATAATATACAAACCCTTTAGGGCTGGAAACTCTTCCCCTCCTCCGCCCCCCCATAGGAACTCTATATTTAGTTAAGAATGCACTACAACCAAGTAAAATAAAACCAAGAAGGTAAGGAAACCTATTTGATACTTGTTTGGTTAGCATGAGCTTGATTAATGAGTGTTTTGCCAGCAGTCTCTAAGCTCAAGCCTGCTCTTGAAGTGATTTAATCTTTTTCTAGGAGTTTGCCATTCTTTTTAGACAAGTTTTCAAGGCACAAATTGTTTCAGTGCTAAATAGCATATCATTCTGAACTTTGAAAACAACTTCCTCAATGTTGGATAGAATCAGCCACACTGGGTAACTCCAGGAAGAGATTCTAAGATGAAAAAATCACCACACACAAACCATACCCATCTTGTATCCTGTAAACAGCACAGCATTCTGGAATAAGACCTCTCATCATCAGAGCTTTCTTTAGACTATCTCGGACTGTCACCCCACATCTTGCTGGAACCTAGAGGTCAAACATAAAAAAACCTAATTAAAACAAATTCCAATTTATCCCCCTAAACTGATGCAAACCTTTTGTCCCTCAAGTGCTAAAACCCACTTTTCATTATGCTTTACAGAATGCTAGGTAAGAGGTTTTCAAAATCTTTTTTGTACTGTAGAAGATTTTATTGGTGAGTGGTATATAAGCAATCTAGCTCAGCTAGAAGAGAAAACAAGCTCTACATTTCTATTAATGTTTGGAATGAAATCTTGACCCCACTCTAAAAGTGACTTTCCAACTCTCTTCATCTTGAAGAAAGTGAAGACACAGCATATAGATAGCTAATAACTACATACATATATAAAAAGTTCAGGCCAAGCTGTCAAATTAAGTGGCACAAGATGCCAAATGGAATTAAAATGAAAGAACTAACTTGGACTACACTCAAAACCCCATTATGATAAAATGTAAACATCTTATTTTCTATTTCTAAAACAGAAGATAAGCATGCAAACAAGTAAAATAAAACAATCATCTGAGTCAGGCAGACCATCACCTCTCACTTTAACCTATACTTGCAACTCTACAGACACTTCCTATTTGAAAAATATATTTCCCTCTTCTGTTTCAGTATTTGAACAGTTTAAATATCTAACAGGATAGGAATAATGGAGAAGCACACAAACTAGTCAAACAAAGAACTGCAAACTATACAAAGTAAAGATATTTTCCTTGCTCCTACTCTATCCTGCCTGGGCATATGTTATAGGAATAAGTATAGCATCTCTAGGTATACCTGTGATTTAACAGTTTATAGTGTCAAGCCATGAAAACAGAACAATACATAATCTGGTGATTAAGTGTAGTTAAGGTGTTGAGTATCATCCACTTACTATTTCTAGAACTGAATACTGAATACATGTAACCCTTTAGTTGGTATACACACTGGGACATCTATAATCAGGGCCAGCACTTCAAACACGAATCAAAAGAACAGCCCACAGACTTAACTAACAAAAAGTCTGTTTGAATACCTGAGACTCACTTCTAGCTCACTAGCAGCCTAAGCTAGAGCCCTCAGTAGCCAAAAGCAGTCTCTTAATCAGCTTCAACGGGCTTTGGATCAGAGCCTAGTTTTTGCTCCTTGCACTTAAGATTGCCATGGATATTTAAAGGCCCTATGTTCTACTTAAGGATGCCAGTGAAAAACAGCAGTCTTTTTCAAGTAGCTTTGTGAACACCACTTGAGGTTACACTATATACTGCATTTCTAGAACACAAACATATGCTCTCTCAGAAGAGACAAATTAAAGGAATATTTTGATTCACAATCCTCCTCCCATTAATATGAAAATGCTTCTTACAGGATATTTTTGCATTTCAGCTGGTCAACATATAAACATGTAAAAAAGAATTTCTATTAATTCATTGAAAAAAAAAAAACACATTCTACAGCATACTGCTTTACAATCCTGATATTCAGCCTTAACTGACTTTGTTTTGCACATCCTATTACTTCTTGATACATCTTTTTATTAACTTAAGTAACTTCTTATCATCATAGAAGTTAACACTGTGGCTTTCCATCACTTGTAGGTCATTCCTCCAACAAAAACCATCCTTAATTGTTACTAACACCCATCACTGGTATTAAGAGGGAGCCTAGAAGTACCTGTGTTTGTCAAGATAGTCAACAACTTTCCATTGTGAAACTCAGCCCTCTGTTGCTTAACTCTCTACCAAACTAACTGTTCAAACTGAAACCAAGCGTTCACAGGGTCGTTCTGTGACCGGTACCTCCTGCTCTCAACCCCTACCAACATGGCTAGTGTAACTAACGCCATTTTACGAGGCAAGCAAGTGGGTTGCATATTCATTCTCTTTCCCCTCATTATCAGGCCCTGAAGGTCCTGTGAACCAACTAGACAAACCAAACAGATTTCTTCTTCCCCTCCCTACTGGCCTCAAGGTTCCTAGGCACCAGGCCGATTACTCCCTCCCTTGTTGGCCTTGAAGGTCCCAGGCACCCAGAGCCACTAGGTGGTGGTGACGGCCCCGCCACAGAACAGGGAAGCCTAACAGTGCACAGAGCACTGTCTATAAAACCAAGCAGTTACCAGTCCTAATGGGGGAACTTGGACTGGAGCTGCTGCTGGACAGCGAGACTTGTGACCTGCTGGTGGCCAGGGACACCTCCACTGTCCTCTGCTTTCTCCCAGGACCGAGGGAATGACCCATATTCTTTTACATGAATGTTGAGTCTAGATTATGATTGTTATATTGATGCAACAAACCATGTATTAAAGATTTGACCCAATGTGCAGAGGATCCAGGTGATCAGAAATTGTAAATTAAGTTGTACTATAAATTACGTATTACACTACTTATAAATTGTACCATATTGATTCTGCTTGTAGAAATCCTCTGCTATTCTAATGATAAATTCTGTGCTACACTAATAACAATATCCTGTTAAGAAAAATAAAGCTTTCATTGTGACTACAATTCAAGTGCCATCATCATTCTGCCAAGGATCCCCAAAAGAACCTGCCTGATCCCTGAGTATCAGGTGGCAAGTTCTGCCTGCCTCCAACATATATATTTACAAATATAGAATAAATATAAATGTTAGTAGGGAAACAACCAGGCAGGACAGAAAGAAGACAGACTGAAGAGCTAAGTGAGGCAGAGAGCAGGAAACAAAGATACGATGAACTGCCAGGCAGGGGAGAACTGGTTGAAACAGCTGGGGAGGCAATGGAAGCGCATCTGGAACAGGAAGCTTTCATGCTGTGATTAGGAGAAAAGAGGGCTCATTTTGGACAAGGAGCACCAGGGGGAATGGAGTGCCTAAGAGAAGTGTTAGAACTGAGCACAGAGTGGGGAGAGGTTCTAGCTTAGGCAGAAAACTTCAAGGCACTAAGTATTAAAAGAAATCAAGGTAGTAAAATCTAGACCTGGGTGAGGGAATGGAACAGGACAAGGAAGAAAAGCCAAGCAGTAGAAAGGTGACTAACATTCAAGAGATGAAGAGAAAAAGGGAAGGAGCCTTGTGCTCACTAGAAAACATTTTCTTCCTCCAGCACTGATCTTCCGCAAAGGGCAACAACATCCTCCAGGACCTCATGAAACAAAGACCTGTAGCAGGAACCTATAAGTTCCAACTCTATTAATGAATTACACTGGTGTAAATAATGCCACTTCAGGTGATTTTATTTATTTTTTTTTTTTAATTTTGCTGAAAACAAGATTCATGAAGTTACTGGCTTCCTTTAAAGTGATCAATAAAGTCAGAAAGGTAAGCTGTCAAAACCTGGAAAGTATCAAAATGAAGGTTGCCTACAGCAAGGCAAGTGCAATAGGACTATGAAAAATGTACATTAAGCAACTTGCTCACTTACCATTCACTATTCCTCAGTATTACTTCCCCAAGTCCCCTTCATTCAGATCTGAGCCATATTTATGCAACTTGCAGTTAGAAACATGGATAGAACATTTGTTCTCTTCACTGCCATTTGCAACAAGATTCAGCTAAAAAACAGTTAGGGAACTTGTTTTGATTACTTTAAAAAAATCACTAGGATCCTGAATCAGCATCACATTTAGAACGTTCTCTTACAGAACTCTTGAGCAGAGAAACAGAAGGCTAAATTAAAAGAACTAAATACTAGAATAAATCCCTGTAGTATTGATTAATCATTTTCCCAGACTGGTACAGTGTGGTCCATCACCATCTGTGCATGCAGCCCTTCAGCTTCCTCCTTCAGTGTCTGCTGTAAAGCAGAAATCTCACCCTGCAAAGCACTCCCTCTAAAAGCTCTCTTTCCCCACCACATTCTCTACTCACACCCAAATCATGGCAAAGTTAAAGAAAAATCGCTCTCCAAGAAAGTTATTTAGAGAGCAACTCAGTCTTAAGAAAAAAAAAACAAAAACAAATTCTATTTTTTTTTTTCAGCTAAGAGAGGCTCCCTGAAGCAGGAGTTTCAGAAAAGCTTTCCACTCGCCCCTGGCTGTGGGGAGGGAGTACAGCTCCATGGGTTGGCAGCAGGACCCCCCCAGCGTGGAGCAGCCCCCCGACCTGCCAAGCCCCCAGGCTGCCAGCAGGAAGCAAAGTGGGTTTATCAATTCCATCAGGAGTTTTGATTGGATTCCCACTGAGAAATTTAACCAAATCACATGAGCATTTTTTGACAAAATATGTTCCCCATAGCAGAACTTCTGATCTACCCTAAAACAGACACACTTATGACTGTAATCCGGTAAACTGAAGAAAGTTTGCATTTTATTGAAACAGAGAATGCTTAACTTTATTTCAAACTCATTTTGTCCACGTCCATCCGTTACCTTTTGACGTCTCTGTTTTGTAACTAGGAGAATCTAACCATGTTTCACAACAGTTACCATCTAGAAATTCATGCTACTGAATTAGGGGATCTGTTTAACAAATTCTCATTGCTAAGGGTTTTCTTTTAAAATTACTTCTACACCTAAGATTTGTAGATCAGGAAAGGTTTACGTTTTTACAACAACTTGAAAGTTGATTCAACAAACAATTTTCAAAAGCAAAGAGCATGAAAGAGTACGAGTTATACAATACTAAGGATCAGTACAGAAACTGCCAATACAGACCGCAATATGTGTTCAATGCATAGCTTAATAATATACCAGATAAAGTAATTTACTTGTGCATCTTGAATTGGGCAAGTAGTCATTCAGGAAGACATAAACACACATGCTCAATTTTGCAAATGTGAAGTCCCAAGGAAACAAATGGAAGTTATTCCAGATTCTAAAAATTCTCAAAATAGAGTCTTACTACCTAGACAGATTAAACAGAACTACAGCACTTAACTTCCTCATTTCTTTTACTCACATAAACCATTTCTATGGACAGTAAGTATTCATAACTACATTGCTGATATACATTTAGTACTGCAGCCACAAGCATTTAAGCAATGCATAATAAATAATTTATTTCTGTAAATCAGGTCATTCCCAATTCAGTAACAAATTCAGGGCTACATCCCTAAATAACTTTTACATCACTTTTCTAACATCAGAGCAAAAACTGGCATAGTCTCAGTAAGTTAAAAATGCTTCCTTAGACCAGTGCAGTTTCCAATATTTCACAGCAATAAAGAGACTGAAGCAACTGAGAAGCACTTCAAAAAAATCAATATAAAGGTATTCCAGCCAGTGGAGAGGCTGGACAGCTCTGAATATCTCCTACTATACTTCCCAAAACTAGTTAGCCGGTTCTGTTTTTTTCCTCAGCCTAGCACTGTAGTTTAGCTCACTTTATCCACGTGTTATGTATGTATATATGTAAGGTATGCATAATACACCTTAGAGCTTCAGAAGAATTCTAAACAGTTAATCAGAGTACTAGGTCTAATAGTGAGAATATTCCAAGTAGTATGGATTTTGAAATATCACTCCAAAGTACCAACTGACTTATCTCAACACATGCACCTTGAAAGATCACACTTTTTTTTTCCCCCTGATACCAGTATGACTAAAAAACACCTGCAACATGCTCACAGAATTCAATGTGTTGGGAGAGAAATAAGCCAAGCTATCTTTTTGCCAAATAACTAGTTTTGCCTTCTGACACGTTAGGCTTTCTGGTAAAAATCCAAACATGAGATTCACATTTAGTTTCTCATCTCAGGTATAAAGGACAAATATTTAACCAAACCAGTCAGACACTTTTTAGAGCACTACCAGACAAATTAACCCCCTTTGTGGCAAAGAGGACATAAGATGACACTGAACATCGTAACCTCTATAAAATGAAGAACATGTCTTTCAGACACAGCTGTTCTGGATTTCAGGGCATGAAGCTCTGACCAGCTTCCAGGACAAAGCTGCATTTAAGAATATACATTCTTAATTGAGCACATTAGTGAGACAAATGTGAGACAATCCCATTGCATTAAAACTTGTTTCCAAGGGAAGTTGAACAGAATTTATTCATTTTACCATGCTGTAACCACTCCATCAAATGCATCCCATTTAACTTGCAAAGGCATTAGTTACCAGCACCCACTCGCACCTCCAACGCAATTAAGAGGTTCTCATTTGTAGAATGAAACGGACTGATTTGCATTTCAATACGGAAATATTTGCTCAAGAATATACGATCACTAAACCACACTGGATCAAACTTGCTGTGCCTAGTCAACAGCAGCCTCCACCCTATCATTTTTCAAGCTTCTGAGAGACAGTTCCCAAACTGTTCAGAAGAGCACTCATCATTTGTAAGGTGATAGTAGACAGCAGAATCACCATCTTAAAATTTTAGTTAGGGTGAATACCAGTGACCGAAGTTGTGAAGACTGACAGTGATCCACCAATTTTAAAAAAGGCTGGAAAATACAGCTTTAGACTTCAGACTTGAGAGAAGTGCTCATCTAGAAAAATATCCACAGCCACTATATGGGAATCAAAACAGGACCTTGAGGCTTCCGTTCAAGTGATGAAAAACTCAGCTGGCTGCTCTCCACACCAAAACCCAAACACATTAGAAATTCAAGTTACAAAATAGTTTAAACAACTCTTTCTAATAGGTCAGCCCCAGAGTCCACTTGCATGGTATCCCCTCTCTCAGACAATCACACTACAAATGCTTTAAAGGCCAGGGGGGCAAGAAACTGCAACACAGAAGGGCTAGAATTCATATCCCCCTCTAAACTGTTGCAACTGATGCTAAAAACAGATACTTTCATGTCTAGGTAGTATGCACATTCCCTACAAATATTAAAGCTTTGGTAGGTTGGTTTACTTAAACAACCCAAGAAGTCAGGAACTTGTAAGTATTACTCACTAGACAGGGAATTAA